GGATGACATTGAAGGTGTAGATTGCTCTGGGCAGCACAGACATTTTAACAATGTTTATTCTTCCGATCCATGAGCATGGAATGTTTTTCCATCTTTTTGTGTCTTCTTCAATTTCTTTCATGAGTGTTCTGTAGTTTTATAGTACAGATCTTTACCTCTTTGGTTAGGTTTATTCCAAGCTATCTTGTGGTTTTTGGTGCTATTATAAATGGAATTGATTCTCTAATTTCTCTTTCTAAGATTACATTGTTAGTGTATAAGAAAGCAACTGATTTCTGTGCATTGACTTTGTATCCTGCCACATTACTAAATTGCTGTATGAGTTCTAGTAATTTGGGAGTGGAGGCTTTTGGGTTTTCCACATAAAGTATCATGTCATCTGCAAAGAGAGAGAGTCTGACTTCTTCTTTGCCAATTTGAATACATTTTATTTCTTTTTGTTGTCTGATTGCTGTTGCCAGGACTTCTAGTACTATGTTGAACAATAGTGGCGAGAGTGGGCATCCTTGACGTGTTCCTGATCTTAAGGGAAAGGCTCTCAGCTTTTCCCCATTGAGAATGATATTCACTGTGGGTTTTCCATAGGTGGATTTTATGAAATTGAGGAATGTTCCCTCTATCCCTATACTCTGAAGGGTTTTAATCAGGAAAGAATGCTGTATTTTGTCAAATGCTTTTTCTGCATCAAATGAGAGGACCATATGGTTCTTCTCTCTCAGAGGAGACATATGTTAAAAAAATGTTTCTACAGCTGATGTCAAAGAGATTACTGCCTATGTTTTCTTCTAGGAATTTTATGGTTTCAGAAATCACATTTAATGGGTCTTTAACCCATTTTGTGGTTATTTTGTGTATGGTGTAAGAAAGTGGTCCAGTTTCATTCTTTTGCATGTAGCTGTCCAGTTTTCCCAACACCATTTGTTGAAAAGGCTTCGTTTTTCCCACTGCATATTCTTGCCTCCTTTGCAGTTCCAGACACATTTTAAGATTGTTCTAGTTCTCTGAAAAATGCTATTGATCTTTTGATAGGGGTTGCATTAAATCTGGAAATTGCTTTGGGTAATATTGACATTTTGACAAGATTTATTCTTCCAATCCATGAGCATGGAATATCTTTTTATTTGTTTGTGTCATCTTTAATTTCTTTCATCAGTGTTTTATAGTTTTCAAAGTACAGGCCTTTTACTTCCTTGGTTAAGTTTATTCCTAGGTATCTTACTGTTTTTGGTGCAATTGTAAATGGGATTGTTTAATTTCTCTTTCTGATACTTCATCATTAGTATATAGAAATGCAACAGATTTCTGTATACTTATTTTGTATCCTGCCACTTTACTTAATTCATTTATTATCAGTTCTGGTAGTCTTTTGATGGAGTCTTTAGGGTTTTCTCTATAGAATCATATCATCTGGATCTTTACCTTTTTTCTGTTTCATTTTCACTTTTTTGATTGATACTAACTGAACTTGTATATTTTTTGGGTATTATATTTCTTTTACAAAGTGCCCCTATTCATGTCCTTCACGCACTCATTTTTTCTGTCAGGAACCCGTCATTTTCTTACTGACTTGTAAGAGCGGCTAAGCCAGTTCCTTCCTCACATTTGGGACTCATTTGTCTGAGCTTCTCAGGACATGAGATCGTCAGTTTTCTCTCTTTACCTACCTGGCCTTTTGAGGCAACGTTTTCATTCCAGCCTCTGTCCAGTGCATGAGCTGCCTTGCAAAAATGGAGAGCAGAGTTACTTGTTTCAAAACTCCTTTTGATGGGTGTCTTCAGTGGTTCTTGGTAGGACCCTGCAAGAAAAACATTTAGCTTTTGTTTTTCAAAATAAGATAATCACTTTGGTTGGTGGTTGACCACTGTGTCTTTCACAATAGAATGTGAAGACATAGGCCCTCATCTCTCCAAAATCCTGGCAGAGGTGGGTAAAAGAGGGAGGGTCAGCACAGGACCTTATCCAGAACACCAGGGTCATAAGTGAGCACTGCCTCAGTGGTCTCTGTAGGAAATGCCAAGATTAAAGACCTGACTCGCACTGCAACAGCAGCAGAAATGCTTTATCTCTGCACAGAAAGAACATATTTGCACATTTGAAGAATAGATACAAACAGTTCCAGAGTTTAAGATGATGGAGCAATGGTGTCTGGTTTGCCCAGGCTATGATCATCCTGCCAGGAAATCATTGTGGGATGCTTGCTTTCCTAATCATTTTGCCTCTCCCTCTTCCTTTTATAGAAAGATGCTGTAAGGATAGTTTGAGATGGCATCAGTGAAATACTTTCTAAGTTAAAGTAATAATAGAGTCAATGTTATTCTCATCATTATTATTCATATCTGTCCTCTTCTCAAGATTGAGAAAGCCCTTTACCAGACTTTTAACTGCACAGAAAACCCTGTCATGTCATCCTCTAAAACTAAGTATCTTATATGTTCATATCACTTGTTCATCAGAGGGGCCAAGGGACCATTGAAAAATCTTATATAATTATAATCTTTACAAAAGGAACCACATACCACTGTGATTCTCAGAAATGCATCTAAAATACAACATACTGTCTTTTGTTTTTGTTTCATTTCCCAACCCACCCCACCCCCACCCCCACATCACCACCTTGGAAATTTCTTATTCAAAGGAAGAAGAAAAGGAAAGCACTTGATGAATGTGATACTAGATAGTTTTACGAGACAAAGATTCTCTCTGGAATATCTGTTTCATTAACAATTTTTAAACAGCCTGTGGAATTTCTACTACCTCACCTAGAATCAGAGTCTCTTTCTCAGGTGTTATCTTCAGCATGGATCCGGAAGCTTCTGGGAGGTAAGTGGTTGAAAGCTCTTCCCCAGAGGAGCAGGCTGCCAGATCCCTGGTTTGGCTTTGCCGCCCTCTGGTGGTAACTGGGCTACTGGCGATGGGAACCTCAGCAGACAACCTCTTCACAAAGTTGCTCTTGAAGCTAGAATATGTAGTCTTAACTTCATCAAATGTCTATTTAACAAGAAAAAAAAGCTGTAATTTATAGTGGCCTCAATGATGTAAAAGTAGGTATTCCTTAAAGGAGAACTATAAACAACTCATCTAGTACAAAACAAATTATAAATCAGATTTTTAGTTTTTGTGACCTGAGAGGATGTTATTTTATATATATAAATATGTGTATATGTGTGTGTGTGTGTGCGTGTACTTAGAGCCTCTGTTCAAGGGTCTCAAGACGTATAAAGGCAGCTTAGAGAGTAATTATGTTTACAGTTATTACAATTACATATCAATATAAAATATGAAGTTGAAATAACCCTATATATTGAACAGACAAAATGTTTATACAAAATCACAAAATTGCAAATCTGGAAATAAACAGCAATTTTCTAGTCCAACCTTTTCATTTCACAGATGAGCTAACTGAGGTCTAAGTTGCTCAACATTCATCTCATTCCCTCTGAGAAACCCCAGGATTGGTATTTACAGATCTTATAATGGTGACCCAGGTCATGTAACTACATGAAATTAAAATGCAAATGACAAATTGGAAATATATTATATTTTTAATAAGATGTCAGGCATGTTAGATTAATATCTTTGTGTAAAGGACTCAGAAAAATTTAGACAAATTTTCAAACCAAATAGAAAAAAATAGGGCATAGGACCCAAAAAGACAATTCACAAAAGAGATATATAAATACCCCCAAAATATTCAACCTCACTAATAATCAAAGAAATGCTAATTTAAAACAGTAACAAGATGCTAGCAGTGATTTTTTTTAAATGACAAGCCCCAGGGTTGAAGGTTCTAGAAACAAACACTGACATACATTGCTGGTGGAGCATAAATTAGTATTTGGAAGACAATTTGGCAACATGTGTCAAAAGCCTTCAAGTATGTGTATAACCTCTACTGACCCAGAAACGTCACAGCTAAGAATTTAAGGAAGAAATTAAAAAATATGAGTAAAGATGAACAAAACCAAAATATTTTGAGTGCTTACCACAATATGAACCCATATGCTAAATGTTTACACACATTCATATTTAATCTTCAGAAACACCTGTGAAGCAGGTCTGTTGTTTATTCCCACTTTACCAGTGAAGAAACCGAGGTTTAGAGGTTAAGTGAATTGCTTAAGACCACACAGTGGGTCCGTTGGAGATGCCATACCCTAATCTCATCTGTCTGACTCCACAGTCCACACTCAGCAGAGAACACGGGGGTGTTACTGCAGGTATATATGTTTATAGGGGGAAAAGATGGGAAGGACTCAATATTTACCAATGGAGAATTGAGTAGATAGACTATGTGACATCCTTAAAAGGCAATGCTCTGTACATTTGTACATACTCTGAAACTTTGTACATTGCTTATGGGGATGTAAAGTGGTACTACTGTGGAAAACAGTTGGCAATTCCTCAGAAAATTAAGCCTAGAATTGCTGTATGATTGAACAATGTCACTGCCAGGTATAGACCCAAGGGAAATGAAAACAGGTACTCAAACTCAAACGCAGGTACATGCATGTTCATGGTAGTATTATTCACAATAGCCAGAAGGTAGAGATAACACAAATGACCATCAGCAAAGAAATGGACAAGCCAGTTGTGTTTATGTATGTACATATACATATGTTATACATAATATAATTATTTATTTGTTCATAAATGACATCTCAGCTAAGAAAAATGATCAAGAAATTTCACACCAACAATCTTACACTGTCTCAGCAGGTGCATGTTTCTCTGGCTCATCTCCTGTCACATCCTCCATACTGTCTCCTCACCTGGGTGCTCTTCCCCAATTCTCTGCCAGGGTAACTTCTAGCCCACCTTCACAGCTGGGATCAGCCATCACGTCAGGAAGGTGTCTCTGACCTTCCCTTCCTCCCCGTTCCAAACTGGGTTAGGCAGTCCGTGATATCCAAATAATTGCAATGGTTAATTCTATGTGTCAACTTGACTGGACTAAGGGCTGCCCAGAGAGCTGGTAAAACATTGTTTCTGGGTGTGGCTGGGAGGGTGTTTCTAGTGGAGATGAGCATTTGATTCAGTAGGCTGAGTAAAGAGATCCACCCTCACCACTGTGGGTGGGCTTCATCAAATCCACTGGGGGCCCAAATGGCACAAAAAGGCAAAGGAAGGGCAAATTTTTTCTCTTCCTGAACTAGGACGTCCATTTTCTCCTGCCCTCATACATCAGAGCTCCTGGTTTGTCAGACCTTCGTACTCCTTGATTCACACCAGCTGCTCCCCAGGTCTCAGGACTTTGGACTCAGATTGAATTAAACCACCAGCTTTCCTGTTCTCCAGCTTATAGCTTGCAGACTGTGGGACTTTTCAGCCTCCATAACTTCATGAGCCTCATGTATATATATTTACTTATATTCTATTGTTTTCTTCCCTCTAGAGAATCCTAATGCAAGAATGATTATTTTTCATTGCACGTGAGAGAGAGCTGATATGCAGTGAAAACGACTGGCAGTATTAGATACTCACCACCAAAATATGAATCAATAGCATAATGAGATGACTTTTTTTTAAGCATTACAATTTTAGGTCTCATTACGGGAAAAACAATGTCCAAAACAAGAGCGAGGGAAACCCAGTTGTCTCTGTGCTGGTCAGAACCCATCTGGAGAACTGTGTCCAGGCTTGGACCTGTCCTGTAAGGTGAGCCAGCCAGGATTCTAAACCTGAGTTCATTTAGAGGAAAGGGACTGCAGTGATTCGAGGTCAGGGAACACAGCAATGGAGCAAGACATGAATGGAGTGAGGGCATCGAGGGTATTTAATCTAGAGGTAATAAGACCCATAAGGAACTGTCTTCAAATATTTAAAGGAAGCCAATGTATGAAACAAAGAAATATTTACTTTGTATTGCTCTCTATGACAAGACTGGGCGCTTCAAGCCCAAGCGCTTGGAGCAGCAAGGTCAGAGAATTTAAGTCCAGGTGTCATATAAAGTTTGACTTTTTTAGTAATTCAGCCAGAGAGCACCCAAGTAATACTATCATAGTTAAGAGGTGATACAATGGGTTTTGTGTACACTTTTGTTCTTTACCAGAAATTATGTGTACAGGAAGAGACTTTTCTGTTGTATCCATTCTTACCAGGCTCCAAGAGAGTGGGAATGACATGGTTTATCAGTCTCTGACAGGTCGTACATGGCTAAGCTGTGGGTTCAGCTCATCTACCCCCAAGAGCACACACCACAGACGCAGGGCCCAGAAGCTGAGCTGTAGCTTCCCGAGCACATCCTCTAAAGTGCTAAAGATCTAATCCTGAAGGGAAAGGGCACACCCACAGTTTTTCAGATCCTTCCGTGCACTTTTTCCTAGCATTTTCTGTAATCACACCACGACCCCAAAATTCAGGCCAAATAGAATGAAGCACCTTCATTTGAAACTTGCTGTGTGTCTTAGGAAAGAGGCTAAGGTGACCCAAGGACTGCAGCCCTCAATTTCCCGTCCATTCATACCCCTGAAATTTTCAACAGTGAAGTTAGGCCTCCTATAAGAGGCGACAGCCGCGGGAAAAACAAAGACAAAAAAAAAAAAAAGAAGAAGAAGAAATAACTAGATGATGCACCCAAGGAGAGGTGGTTTTGGGGGATTTCCTTGTTTGTTTTTGCTTTCTTGGTAGAATTGTCTAATTTAATTGTTAAATTCCTGATTTATTATAGAGTTCAGTTTTTTTTTCTGTCTACAGGTTGCAGCCCATTAAATCATTGTCATGGGTCAGAACCAGGCTGTTTTAAAACTACCATAGGCGTATCAACAGTCAAAGGGGAAGTATTGTTTAATGAAACTTCTCAGTTATGTATGTCTGCGTACTGAGTTAAATTGTAAAGTGCATTTCTTACTGGGGGTCATGATCAAAAATTTGAAAAACACTGGACTATAGTTTGCTTTACCATAGAGGAGGGTTTTTTTAAGCCTTCATTGTGTTTGATCTGTTTATTTTTGCTATATTCACCTGGCACTGCCTTAATTAGATGAAGTCAGCACAAGCAGCCCCTTCACATATTTCTCTGCCGTGTCCACTGTAAATTCCTAGAACTCATGTAGCAAGTTTAATGCGTACGTATAACATTCAATTCCTTCAGGCTATATACATCGTATTAATAGACCACATTTAATCTACCCTCTGAACTATTCCTCAGTGGTGTTTACCCACTCCCCTACATTTAACCAGTTACTGGGAGGGCTCAATCCACAGCTTGTGCCCTACAAGGGCACCATCTTCTGGTGAAATATTTTGTCAGAATGTTAAAGAACTATCAAAAAAGTCCTGATTTTTCTAGCAAAGATTGCAATGAGCATCATAAATACATTGATATTCTTTAGCACTCTTTATTTTATCCAGGAGTTTCACTCCTTTCCCCATCTGAGAAGGGTCTTTCTATTCCTTAGCAGGGAAAGAAGCTAGTCTGTCCTTCTTGGTTTTCCGTTAAACTGAGCCAGTGTCAAGTTTCAGCTCCTCCTCAAATTCCAGCCTGCTGAGACTTCCCTCTAGAATCATCCAAAATGGAGCCTCTTACAGCGTACCCTTTAAGATGTTCAGGGTCGAAAGCAAAGGTATTTGCAGTTTTACTGTCTATGGTTCTATGCACAGTAATGCTATTTCTTCTACAACTAAAATTCCTAAAACCTAAAATCAACAGCTTTTATACCTTTGAAGTGAAAGATGCAAAAGGAAGAACAGTTTCTCTGGAAAAGTTTAAAGGCAAAGTAAGTTGCATCTTCTGACTTTTTTTTTTCTATTGTTTGTTCATGTTCTCTGTTTAATGGACTCAATTTTTCATTGTTAAAGGGTCGTAAGTTATAATTTAGTCTTCAAAGTAATGTTATTAGTGTATCTTGCCATCAGAGTTCTTATAGTGTATCTGCTTCTAATTGACAAACTCTGACTGTCCTGTCTTCAGAGGCGTGCTGAATTAATACTTTAAGTTGTTTAGGAAATTCTTAGTTAGTAATGGGAATATGGAGACATTAAGAAATACTAATTCCATAATCTAGCAACATTAAAAAGCACTTATTGATGTTCTTATCATCTTTTATTTAAAAACAAACTGTTGTATCTGATGCTTTTTTTTAATGGTGGTGATCTTTCAGAGTCTTAATTCATGCGTCCAGGTTATGATTTTCAGTAAAATTGGGTAGGTCTAAAAATATGAAATAACTATCTGCTTCAAAATGGTTTAGGATTTTAACTACTTGCAGAATTCTTTTTTAATCTTTTCTTTGCTTCACTTTCCGGTTGGATTTTTTTTTCTTTTTCCGGGAGGTTGCGCTAGTTGTAAACGTGGCTAGTGACTGCCAACTCACAGACAGAAATTACTTAGCACTGCAGGAACTGCACAAAGAGTTTGGACCATTTCACTTCAGCGTCTTGGCCTTTCCATGCAATCAGTTCGGAGAATCGGAGCCCCGCCCAAGCAAGGAAGTAGTATCTTTTGCAAGAAATAACTACGGAGTGACATTCCCCATCTTCCACAAGATTAAGATTCTAGGATCTGAAGCAGACCCTGCATTTAGATTTCTTGTTGGTAAATATCTACCTTGCCTCGCCAATTTAATGTTTTTAATTGCTTTTCATGTTTAAAACAAAGAGACCAGGACCATAGTCTTCTATTTCATTTGAAATGTCTTAGTGGGAAAGCTTGATAAAACTATCAAAGAGCCAGAATCTCATCTCTTGTAATTTTCTAGAAGTTATGCTTCCCTGAAATCAATGTTTTAACTTCTTGAATGGCAAAATGAGTCTACTCCAATGTATTTTATTCCTTGTGATCATTTTCCTGAAGAATTTACTTGAAGTGTGGTCACGGCTATCTTCACAAAATAGCTTCACAAAATAGCTCTTGGGGAAATGTCCCTCTCCATTACTAAAGCTATCCATGTCTCATGAATATTGCTAGGCATTATCAGTTAGACATATCTTTGTGGTTAATTTTATGTTGCCTTACTTGTCTGAGATATTATCTTCAAGGATGAATGATATCTTGGTTTACCAGGCTTTTGCTAAAATTCAAAACAGAATATAAGGATTTTTTTGGAGGAGGGTGATATTAGGCTATTTCTAAAATTAGGCTAGCTACAGAAATCTGTTTAAAGATTTTCCAGGAGGGCACGCCTGGATGGCTGCCTTCGGCTCAGGTCATGATCCCAGGATCCTGGTATCAAGCCCCTGCGCCAAGCTCCCTGCTCAGCGAGAGCCTTTTCCCTCTCCCTCTGCCTGCCGCTCTGCCTACTTGTGCTCTCTCTCTCTCTGTCTTTCTGTCAGATAAATAAAATCTTTAAAAAAAATAAAATATTTTCCAGGGCCGGTTAGCATAACTGTAGTGAGATATAGTGACTAAGGGCATAGGTTTTAGCTCCAGTCTCTGGCTTCAAACGCCTGCTCTGTTGCTTTTGCTGTGTGGCTTCAGGTACGTGACTTAACTCCTCTGTGCCTTCCTCATTTGTGAAATGAGACTATCAATAGTACCTACTTCCTAAGATTGTTTGGAGGATTAAGTGTATTACTAGTAAAAGTAAAGTATTATACGCTGCTTACACCATGCCAAACACTATTCTAAAAGATATTCAGCTAATGTCCTCTCATCTGACTTATGCAGATGATATCCTCAGTCCTATTTTCAAAGATAATTTGAGTTTGGATAAAACTATGGCCCTCAGTCAGACAATCAAGCTTCCAGTCCAGTAAGTCGGCTAATGATGTTCTATAAAATTTAAGTGTGAAATCGGAATCTTTTAAAAACATTATATTTAGTTTCTAGGGAAAATTAATATAATGCTTAATACCCTGCATAGCAACCAGAATGATGTCTTCATTCCTTTTATTTCCAGGATACACTGAGGAAAGAAAAGCCAGAGCACATGTCCTTACAATCATTTTCAATTCTAGCAGCCAAGTATATGGGCATCATAGCTCCTAAGTTCTTCCCCTTTATCACTAAAAAAAGCTCCTGAAACTCCACCTACCCCATGTAATCAAAAAAAGTCACAGTGATTTAAGGTGGCACTGAAGTTAGGTGAAGCTCCAGAGACAAAGACTCTGAGATCAGGGCACCTGGGTGGCTCAGTCGTTAGACGCCTGCCTTCGGCTCAGGTCATGATCCCAGGGTCCTGGGATCGAGCCCCACATTGGGCTCCCTGCTCTACGGGAAGCCTGCTTCTCCCTCTCCCACTCCCTCTGCTTGTGTCCCCTCTCTCACTGTGTCTCTCTCTGTCAAATAAATAAAATCTTTTAAAAACGGGGGGGGCAACTTTTCAAAATGATTTTAAGATGGCTTTAATGTAGTAGTATGATGCTCACACTGAGTCACTGATGTTTGCTCTAATCAGAAATATTTTTCTCTAATAATGAAATAAATTTAACTGCTTGGCATGGTGCACAAAGTAAAACACATTTAAGTAATCAGGCTACCTTTTATTTCTTATTTTTAACCTATGCTCTCTCGTTGGCTCTTTTTCTCAGCACAAAGCAAAGTATTGCACACCTTAAATCTCTAGGCAGTGTGTTCCTTCTACCTACTTAATCACTATTTCTGAAAGAATAGTTAACACTTGTTATCTGTTTCCCTGTCTCAGTTCCCTTCTTAGATCACTGCGTCTGGCTTCTTGCCAGGATCTCCTGAACCTCACAGGTTACCAGTGACATTGCCACTCTGGCCCCCTCTTTCTTCCTTTCAGGTTCCTCCTTTCCATCAACCCTTAACTCGCTGATCCTCAGGATCCTGCCACAATCCACTGGCACTCTTCTTATTCTATCCCCTTTCCTTGAGTGAGTTCTCTCTCTCCTCAGCTCCAAAGCCATATATTCAGCGGCCTCCTCTGACTGGATGTCCCACTTACACCTGAATTCCCTCCTATACAAAAACGAATTTGTCATCATCCTCCTAAAATCTGTTTGCTTGTCCACAAGAGTAGGAAGGTCTGTGTATCAGTCCTGGTTCTACCGCTCACTAGCCGTGAGACCTCGAGTCTAGGACTCCATTTTTCTCATCTGCAAAATGGGGTTAATAATAATACCCACCTCACAGGGTTGCTGTAAAGATTAAATGAAAGGATCCATTTAGAGCAATGAGCACAGATTACTAGGTACATAGTAGACAAGTTATTTATATTTTTTTCTCATGTTAGTCAATAATGCACATCAATTCTGGATAGTGTAAGTGGAAAAATATCTACATTTCTTACATAAATTAAGATGTATCAAAAGGACAGCATAATTTCTCAAAGTAATATGATTTAACATTATATGTTAACTGAAATTAAATAAACACTTAAAAATATGATAAAGAATTCCTTTCCATTTTTGTCTACATAACATGTAACAATATTAAAACCATAGATAACATTTAATATGAAAAGAATTCCATACATGCCATTACCAAGGACCATTAGAACATCATTTTATCTTTTAAAATGTTAGGAAACAAAGTTTTGAGTGAGAAGGTAAATTTTTTGTTGTTTAGATCAAAGATCCAAAATAAACCCTTTGTTTCGTGATTCCCGATCAGTAGAATCATCAGTGAAGTCACCAAATATACAGAAATATGGTTACTCAAAGCTTGAGTTTTGCTTTGTTTGGGTGTTTTGTTTTTTGTTTTGTTTTTGACATTCCTAGAATTTGATTCTAAAGTTGTCACTTACACAGATACTAATAGAAATGACTATCTTAGCAAAAGAATAAAACTACGCTCATGAAAATATATTCTGGTATTTTAGATTCTTCAAAGAAGGAACCGAGGTGGAATTTCTGGAAGTATCTGGTCAACCCTGAGGGCCAAGTTGTGAAGTCCTGGAGGCCAGAGGAACCCATTGAAGTCATCAGGCCTGAGATAGCAGCTCTGATAAGACAAATGATCATAAGAAAGAAAGAGGACCTGTGAACATGGTAGTGAGTCATTCAGATGCAGTAGTCGGAATATAGACATGTCTGGTGGGGCGTGGGGGCGGGGGAGGGTGTCTCATCTTAAAGACTCTGACAATTAAATGTGGCCCTGAAGGATGGGGTGTTTTGTTTTTAGGATACGTTGCCAGTGAGTGGTAATGAATGTCCCCAGGTCAGAGATGTTACCTAAAGCAAAAATAAAGAGTAGCTAAAGAATCAAAATACAATATATTAAATATTTCATCTGACCACACTAAGTAATTCAGAATACAGAGTCACCAATGTGCTTCAATATCCTGTTGTTCACCTTGACATTTTCCAGGATTGTACTTGATGGAAATGCCAACACACTAGACCACTGTTTGAATTCAAGACACTGTATGTGACTGAAATTTCGGGAGTAACTAACTATAAATGGCTATTTTTATGTAATAAAATACAAAATAAACATTGAAAAATGTGAAATAGAGAGATTCAAATCCCTATATACTTCTGTTTCATGTACAGGATTTTGTTTCTTTAGGTTTTGTTTTTTTTAAGTACAGGTTCATAGTATGTTTTATTATATCTGCCCAAATAGTCACTGATAAATGACACTATCCTAACATTTGAAAAAGCCTTCATCACTTTCAGTATTTCTCTATTATTTTCCAGAAGCAACTCAAATTTTATAAATAGAATATTAGTAGTTGAAATACAGTCTTTATTTCTGAATGAAAATCCTAAGTGTAAGAAAAAGGGAGTGTTTGGTGATTTAGCTCAAGTCTTGATATATTAATTTTGGTTGCTCATATAGTCAGGCTAGACGAGCCATGTGGAAAGAATTCCATGCCACATCATTCTGATAGCTGAAATAGTAAGAATCAACTCAGACTCATCAAAGGTCTGAATGTAAACGGGGGCGGTTTGCAGTCACACCAGCCTTAAACATCAGCAGTCACTGAACCCTTCGATAGAGTCACAACATGCTTTTTCTCCCGAAGTCATAACCTTTATGTTTTGTCAGTCTTGTAATTATTGGCTAACAAAGCAACCTGCCAAGTTGGTGAAGGCTAATTATTGCCCCATGAAATAGATATTCATTTCATGAAGTCAAGAGGAAGACTAGGGCAAAAGAAAAAAAAAGGGAAAAGGCAATCCTGTAAAATTTGGCTAAGAAGGAAGACCCAATCTCAAAAGCCATGAGTTGGCTCCCAAATTCTGACCTGATTAATGCAAGTGAGGATGGTTTTATATGGTGAAATCAGTAATGCCACCTCATATGTAGTTCTGTGTAAGTGTTTAAAGTTCTTGGACAAAGCAGAAAAATTTCCCTGAACACCTTCTCTTTCAAAGTATGTGTCCAACCACCCACAGTTGGGGGTACAGTTTCTATTAGAGGTCAAGAAGATTTACAAGGATAGCTTCAAGAATGGCAGGTGACTGTGTCAGCAAACCTGCTTGTACCCCTCACCAGCCGTATGACTTTGGGCAAGTCACTTGACTACTTTTAGATTTGCTCACCCATAAATTGAGGTCGGACTGAACAAAGAGCCCCTTCCAGCTCTATGAGTCAAGGACCATGCTTAGCAAGGTGTCTTCAGTGATCAGGAACAGAATCTGTACCCATCTGAATTATTTTTGAATAGAAGCCCCCGCACAAGCCTATCTGTCCTTTGCAATTTTGCCCCAAGAGCACAGAAGCAGTTTGAATTCTGAGCCTCTAAGCAAACTTTTGTTCAGGGCAAACTCTCCAAGTGTTGCTCCCAGAGCACTCTTGCCATATACCCCCACTTAGGACAAGTGCCGCAGGACTGCTACAGAGTTTTATGTGCTCACATTAGGGGTATGAGCGGAAGTGTATACGGCAGCCCTACACAGGCTACGTAGACTCCCCACTGTCAGTTGGTGATGGAGCTGCATGGGGACCGACCAGCACTGTCCTGGTGGATGCAGTTGAGATGTCCCTCCTGCCCAAAGTCACTAGTCCTCCAAAGCCATATAAAGTGGGTTCTCGGTTATAGATCTCCAATCCTGGTCGCTTTATTCAACCTACAGTCTCCACTATGGTCAGTGCTTGATTCTCTCCCCTTGGCCTTTGGGTATGCAGGGAAGGCAGCTGGGGATTGGAAAGTGTGTGTCCAAGATTCTGTCACAACTAGGCTCTCTGTGCTAAAAGAGGGTATGGAGCCATTTGCTGATGTCCTGCTGCCCGTAACTCCAATGTCTTATGTGAATTCCACCAGGTATGCACATACAGAGGAAAAAATTGTAGCTTTCTTGAATTGAACATATCTTCCCTGTCTTGGCATCCAAAAGCCTGAGACATGGACTGCTGTGTCAGCTGAGGAGTATGACAGAAAGTAGCTGGTATCACATCAGAGGGCATTCAGTTGCCCTTATGATGAAGGGACAAAATCAAATGCACTTCAGTGTGGTAATTCATTGGCTTGAAGTTTGGTTTATCCAGAATGTGGGAAGGAGTCCTTCATTCTAACTCCTAATCTTCATCTCATGGCACATATAGCCGTAGTGTTGGAGACTGGAATAAATATGAATTTGCCTGAGATGCACCCTGAGAGTCAGACTTCATTTTTTAAAATGCTTGATAATTATAGCATATCCATAATATGCATATGATTCCTAGTAATTATGGTATATATGGCATCTACCCAGAGGTGGCTGATAAATAACCATCACCTTTCTGGAGGAGGGGTCCCAATTTGCAGCACTTGCCAATTTCCATGGTATAAATGCTCCCACATGGCCAACTTCCATCTACCAATGGTTTAATAACTGGCATGCCGAATTTCAGAAAATTTAACAACCAGTTCTCACAAACCACTATAAGTGGGCTCCGGGACACCAAAATTCTTAAAAATCAGACTTGATTAGGTTACCATAAGGATCCCCAAAGAGAAAAATCTAGAGTGAAAACTTACTACATATTATTTATTTTTATTATAAATATACTGTTTAGGTAGGTTATATGAAAATGTGGATGTACAGTTACTGAAATATGCTAACAATATGCTATATAATCACAGTAAAATATAATGACTTAACTGAATTGTCTATAGGTAACCTCAAGTAGGAAAATACTAGAGTAAAAAGAAAAAGAAAGAAATGTAGACAAAGCCTCAGAAGAAAAACAAAAACTGTTTTTTGTGTGTTTCAACACACTAACTGTTTCAGAAGATGACCTTAACAAGCTTAAAAGTCTTCAGTGGTCCCTGTATAAAATACTATGTTCATTCATGGTGTTTCTTTGAAAGAAAAATGGTATGTCTGCATGTAAACAATATGGGGACACTTGGTCCATGTTTATTCCTTACCTGGATTTCATCTTTCCCATGGAATAATAAAATTCTAATTTAACTGTCACACCTAGAAACTAACACACCACACTGTTCCCCACTCTTCTCTTCCTTCCTCTTGCTGATCTGTTAACACTTGGGGGGAATGAATGAAGAGTAGCTTTGAAGTCCCAAGTGTGGATCTCTCTCTTTCCCTCTTACTCCTATGGAAACACTGATCTTAATTTCTCTTTATTGCATTCCATTCTTTCCCTCCTTTCTCATCATCTCAATAATATGGAAAGGAAGAACAGCTTTAAATATGTATTGTTTATTGAGTATAAATGTTGGCATTTTATGTCTTGTTCTTTAAAAAAATTAAAATACAAAGGCCAAGCCTTCTAAATTAAGTAGGTTTTATTTTTATCAACATGTCAGAGACTTTCCATAAAAAATAACACATTGAAATTTAACCTTTTAAGAAAAAAACAAGATGAAAACAGTATCTACACGAAAGGGATCCTTAAACAAAAAAATTCTGGAAATAGAATGATAATGGGCAACAGTGAAAAGAGAATGAGACATGAAAGTAGCAAAATGCATAAAGAACCCAATTATAGGCATCTATCTCCCATGGTTTAAATGTTTAAACTTAAATAAGGTAAGAATAAAAATTGTTATATCAATAATTTATAGTTCAGTACAGTAGACGGTAATATATTTCTCACATCTCACTTAGAATATAACTAATGGACCACACCACCAAAGTCAGTTCCATGAACCTGCTGCAAATGTCCACATGAGGACATGTATGTCACTGTACGTCTGGGACCCAGCACGTACCTGACACTGTTGCATGGACCAAAATGGCCTCCAAAGGAATCAGAATACATTTAAAAGCATATTGTACAGTCAATTCTTCCCACTTCACAAGCTAAATCTCATGCTGTCCTCCAAATATTTTATGAGTCTGTGACTTCACAGAAAATGAAGTGAATAATTGAGGCAAATCCTCCAAACGATTCAACCCCATCCCCACCCCCAAAAGTTCCAATTTTCTTGATATTGCAAGTGAAAATGTTTGAGTTGACTGACTCATCTTGAAAGTTACCTCAATACTCCTTTCAGCTGGTACATACACATGGTTATAGAGACCTGCTCTAATGTCATATTAAGAAACTGATTAGAGAGAATACTAAAGATTTAGTTGAAAACTTAGAGAAACATTTTAAGCTTTCCATTTCACATTGTCATTGCATCCTAAATTTTGTATTAAAAATAAATACATAACTTCACAAATACTTTCATACTGTGTACTCAGGCCTCCAAAAACATTAGCTGGGAAATTTTTTAAGAATTAATTGTATTGGGCAATATATGTTAAGAAAAAAAGAAGAAGAAGAAGAAGGTAGCGGGAGGGGAAGAATGAAGCGGGGGAAATCGGAGGGGTAGACGAACCATGAGAGACGATGGACTCTGAAAAACAAACAGGGTTCTAGAGAGGAGGGGGGTGGGAGGATGGGTTAGCCTGGTGGTGGGTATTGAGGAGGGCACATTCTGCATGGAGCACTGGGTGTTATGCACAAACAATGAATCATGGAACACTTCATCTAAAACTAATGATGTAATGTATGGGGATTAACATAAGAATAAAAAAAAAAGAATTAATTGTATTGGTTTCTTCACCATTTATAAAGCTGTGTATTGTATTATTATTGAGTAACGGAATAGCAATTACAAGTATTACGGTAACTAGTGCCCTGGTTCATAGCAAAAAATAAACACATGCATGCACACACACATACACACTAATTACAGAACTAATTATACGCTGATGTCCATTGTATATGCAATAAGATAGCAGTTGTATGTTAGCTGATGCCATTCATACATTCAACCAGCTAACAATACACTGCCAACCCATCACACACAGGTAACTAGTGCAGCTTGTTAATGAGAAGAATTTATCCAGAAGCAAGTGGCAGGGTAGTTGTGGCTGCCAAATTGACCCAAAGCAGCCAGCTAACAATACACTGCCTACCTGACTCAGGTCACTGCAGCTTGTAATGGCTCGTGATGTCATTGAAGCTACATTTGCAATGTGAAACAGTGGCAGAACTGTAATCTTAATAGTCACATAAAAGAAAACTTTAAACAAAACTTGTTCCTCCAAAACTGTCATAAAATATAAAAACATTATTTTTAAATCTCCTCAAAAACTTAAAAAGGAAAACTTTCAGAATACTTGCACTTAGCTATTTTAAAGTAAATGCTTGGATATCAAAATATGATATCACGGTATATGCGAATTAACAAAAGTTATACTTAACTGTAGCTTTTCCAATTACTTCTATTTACTGATCCAAAGACCAGTTGTCTGTATTAGACAGCAAAATATTTAGGAGTAGTCATGGCAATACATAAGCTGGGCAAAAAACAAAACTGCTGCTATTTTGGAGGGGAAAAATCAATATTAAAGTATTTAGGGAATTTAAGGACTTAAAATTGTCATTCATTGTCTCCCACTATAAATAACATTAGTCATTGCATTCTGAAAGGGCCATTTTGTGTTTATTGTGTCACCACTGAAATATTGAAAAATTTAAAGAAGATTAAGAAAAAATATTGATGGGTTTGAAAATAGAATCCATGAGTAAAGTTTAAAGGAATAAGAACAATTTCGAGAGAGAGGGCAAGGTGAAGGGTGATTATGAGAGATTTAAAGCATATGAGGGCTGTTTATGTGGGAAAAAGAAGAAAAACTCATCTAGATTTGTTTTCTTTTTACACTGATTACAAGAGTAGCTCTGGCCTTTGGCTTCAGACTTTCAAGGAGAAAAAGTACTACATTGGATCAACTTCAAACTGCTAACCGGAAGGGACAGACCATCGATTATGCCACTTCTCCTATTGTCCACAAGATGGCACCATTTCCATTTCTTTTTTGACGGGTGGGGCAAGCTTTTAAATGTAACAGTGGCAAATGCAACCAGCCACTGTTAAAATAAAATTCTAACAGCCAGCTAGCAATGCACTGCCTACCTGACACATCCATGCTTCATCCTTTTCTGTTGAGGCCAAAACTAGAAAGCACCAGTGATATACAAATTATTACCATTGTCAGGGATCTTCAATTTCTTACAGAAATGGGGGGTGAGGGGAGTGTATAGTTAGACTCTGTAGTTAGTGATATCTTAAGAGATTGATTTTTTTAATTTTCATATCCTCATACGAGGCCATACTTCCAACAAATACCTTCTTTAGGAAGAATTATTTTGTTCAAGATCAGAATTAAGAGAACTAAAGCAAGCACCAGACGCTCACCCTGGGAGAACCTGGACTTCTCTTCTGCTTCAGGTCTTTGGCGAGCACCCGCATGACATTCTCCTTCGAAAATATAAAAAACATATGGAGAGAAAAACTATTTTTATTTTTATTTTTTTAAGATTTTTTAAATTTATTTATTTGACAGAAAGAGACACATCGAGAGAGGGAACACAAGCAGGAGGAGGGGCAGAGGGAGAAGCAGACTCCCCGCCGAGCAGGGAGCCCGATGCGGGGCTCGATCCCCGGACCCTGGGATCATGACCTGAACCAAAGGCAGCCGCTTAACGACTGAGCCACCCAGGCGCCCCGAGAAAAACTATTTTTAAAAATCATAATGTTACGTGGAATGTTTCTAGGTCCTCAGCTTGTCCAACTGCATTTACTCTTTTTCTTTAGCAAGCAGGCACCTCCAGAATACAACTAAATTACACATCTCAAAATGCAGCATCAGGGTTTAGAGTTTTGTGCTACATCTTGGTCCTAGCGCCTTCGACGAGAAACCCCTGGGAAACAAAAGGACGTCACTCACCCACATCATCTCTTCTTCTGTCCGGACCCTCCTCCGGGCGGTGCGCTCCAGTTTCCACTCCATCTCCGGAGGACTTCCCGCTACCTGGAGATTGGCCTCCCCTCGATCGGCTCTGGTTTTCCCCTCAGGTCTAAGCCGATCTTGACGCCTAATCGTCAAACCTCTAGAGTCTCACCCCGCCCCCCCACCATCATTTTTCACCCTTAACTTCCATTTCCCCCATTCCTCCCACTGCTCCTAGACGGCATTCCCCAGGGTACTGTTTAAAAAGCCGGCGGGGCGGCATCCGGAGCGGGAATCCCCCTGTCCCGCTTCTCATTGGCCAGCGCTGCGGTGACGTCAGAGGCCGGGAGGGATTCCCCCCAGCGCGCCCGGCCTCCCGCCTCCACCTCCCGGCTGGCCTCCCTGCCCCGCCGCCCCCTGCTCTTTGTCGGCGGAGGCGCGCACAGAAGCGCCAAGCTTTGCCGCGAGCAGTGGCGGGCGGGATCTGGGCCAGGCGCCGAGGGCTGTCACACCAGCAAGAGATGAGAGGGTTGGCGGGCCAAGAAGCGGGTTCTGTGAGTTCACGTTTTTTCCATTTTCAAGGCGGGGTGGGGGGGGAAGCTTCGTTATAACGGGGCCTTCTCTCCATTGGTAATGTTCACCGTTTGTGTAAATCACTGATTTTAGACGTGTTCCCCCAATGTGTTCATCAGCTCTTGCTCCATTTTTCAAATAGGCAGGAAAACGTGGCCAGATTTCTGTGCTAATGAGAAGGGGGAGCGATCACATTGATTCAGTAAGTTCTTCTCCGCTGTAGCCATTTGAAAGTGGTCAGGTTCTCTCGCTTGAGCTTCCGAGCTATCTTCCCCAACAAGAGGTTAGTGAGCGAGATGAAAGAGTCAGTGAGCGCTGGTGAAAGGGAGCACCTCAGGAGGAGTGCAGAGCCAGCAGGAAAGCTGAGCAGACTGGGGGCTAAGTCATAAAGGAAAGGTTGATATTGGGGGTTAAGGGAGGGAGTTAAAGGGAAATGACAAGGAGCCAGATGGGCTGTTCAGCCTTAGCAGCCCCACCTGAGCTGCCACGGGAGGCTGGCTGTGCCATATGGCAGGAGGGCAAACTCTCTGGGAAACCTCTGAAAGACTGGCAACCAGCTTTTCCCTCCCAGTAACTTCCTCCCTCCCTTCCCCCATTTGACACTGGATTTTTTTTTTGCTTTAATGCAACATGTGGGTTTGGGCATTTTCCTGGTGAAAGAATTCGTAGACATCAGATACTCAAAAGGGTCAATGATTTAAAAAAAAAAAAAAAACTAACTAACTAAACTCACTCTCCTGTTTCCTTCTTACTGAAAGCAAAGAAAATTGACATCAAGGCTGAGACCCAATCTTGAACCAGTTTTCCATCTGCAGTGATAAAGGTTAGGGAAAATGCTGCACAGGGTAACAATCAAATGAGATTTATCAAAATGCTTGATAGCCAAAAAACCCATGGGTTGAAAGATCTGTAAGTTTTGGGGCACCTGGGTGGCTCAGTCGTTAAGCGTCTGCCTTCGGCTCAGGTCATGATCCCAGGGTTCTGGGATCGAGCCCGCATCGAGCTCGCAACGGGCTCCCTGCTTGGCGGGAAGCCTGCTTCTCCCTCTCCCACTCCCCCTGCTTGTGTTCCCTCTCTTGCTGTCTTTCTCTGTCAGATAAATAAATAAAATCTTTAAAAAAAAAAAAAAAAAAAAGAAAGATCTGTAAGTTTCACCCACAAGAATTTTACCTTCCTTGTAGTGCATTCAATTTCCAGTAAATCCTTTCAGCAAACATTGAGGCTAAATAAAGTGAAATATTGGCTGAGAGTCAAATGTATTGTTAATTTAAAGATCAATTTTGCAAATGCCAGCTAAAATTAGCAGCATATTGGAAATAATATGGAAGACTTTTTGTTCTACTTCTAAGTATCATTTTACATGTGCCCTTTATGAGAATGGGCACAAACACAGAAGTAATAAAAACCAATTCAATTAATGAACTTGGAAACCCATGTAAACTGTGATTTTAGAATTCATCTCCCTACAAGTACTAAGAATAGGTGAAATACTCTTTTCGAATTTAATTATCTGTAATACACTCACAAATTCCGTTTTAGCTGCTAATTCCATAGCATATCACACCGCCTCCAAATGCCTTTTTTCCCCTAGGTTAAAACAGAAAAGTAAAAGCCAACTATTGTCTTTTTAAAAGTTATTGTGCATTTAAATATCCATATTGAAATTTAACAGGAATGAAGGAAATAGAAAAATCACCATTGGCAAACGGTTGCAGTCAAGGATCATGAATAGTAAAACTGGCGTACATATGATGAGGGTGTTTGCCTCCTATGATCCAATACAAAAAGGAAAATCACAACTTTTCATTGGACAAACCTGGCAGCCACCACCTCAACCAAGTAATAAATTAACCTCACCATTAATGACATATTGACATCCTGTGCCTCCTGATATGATGCACTGGGAAGGGCACAACATAAATTCTGTGATATCTTTGCCAAAAAAACAAACAAAAAACTGCATAACCTGAATTTAATAATGAGAAAGTGCTAAACAAACCAAACTAAAGGACATTCACAAAAATAAATGGCCAGTAGTACTCTTCAAAAGTGTCATCATGACAAAGAAAAACAGAGAAACTATCACAGATCAGAAGTATCTATCTAAACATGACAAATGCATTGTGAGATCCTGGATTGAATCCTGGACCAGGGTGGGGGAAAAGGAGATTTGTTGGATAATTGTAGATACTTGAATATTATCTATAGATTAGTTAACAGAGTAGTAGTAATGCGGGGGTATAGCTCAGGGGTAGAGCATTTGACTGCAGAGTAGTAGTAATGCTTATTTCATACTTATAATCATTGTGCTATAGTTGTATTCAATGTTAACATCTCGGGAAGCTGTATGAAGGACATAATGGAATTATTTGTACCATTTTTGTAACATTTTTCTAAGTCAAATTATGTCAAAATAAAACTTAAAAATGAAAAACATATATTAACTAAATATCATGTGGTCATATGAATAGAAACATTATGGCACAACTGTTTGGGACGAAATAGAAATATCCTGTAAACATTTTATCTTAGTTTTTATCAAATACGGTTTAGGAATAATGTTAACGTGTAGGTTTATGTGCCTGTGAGTAATTTACTATCTTCAAAATGTTTCCTCTTTGTGAGCGGGTTTTGCAGGCAGATCTGTGATAAGGACAAGGGCTGTGAGGAAGAGTCCTCCGCCCAGGCCAAGGCCAATTCGACGGATTTGCTGTAAGGTGAGGGGGACGAGAGGAGAAGCAGGGAGAAGGGAGAACAGGCGAACGTGAGAACACTTTTCTTGATTCCTATCTTGACGGTGCTCTGAGAGTCTGAGCAGGTCCCTACGGATGGGAAGCGAGAGGTACCCAAGCTTCCCAAATGCAGATTTTTTTTCAATTACATGATCACTTTTTCTGAATAATAATGTTACGTATCCCAAAACTACACCATGTACAGGGCGCCTGGGTGGCTCAGATGGTTAAGCGTCTGCCTTTGGCTCGGGTCATGATCCCAGCGTCCTGGGATGGAGTCCCGCATCGGGCTGCCTGCTCCTTGGGAGCCTGCTTCTCCCTCTGCCTCTCTCTCTCTCTCTCTGTCTCTCATGAATAAATAAATAAAATCTTAAAAAAAAAAAAAATACACCATGTACAAAGTCAGCTCCCTTCATCCGCCCTCCCAGCTTACTCCTTTCCCCAGAGCATCGTCAGACCATTTCCAGTGCATTTACATAGTGTGTCCTCAGAGTTGGGCGCTGTGGATCTTCCTACGTGAATGCGATCTCAGTGTACTTAGCGTTTTGCAACTTGCTTTTTCTACTTCACCGCATTCAGTTGCAAACCGGAGAGCTTCCGCATCCCCAACTCCAACTGTCGGTTCTCACGCGGCTCAGAGCGCAGCGTCTCCCGGTGGGCTCGCGCCCCCACCTGGCGCGCACCGGCCCGCTCCAGGCTCGCGCCCCACCTCCCGCGCCAGCGGGCCTGGCTCCGGCGCCCGCCTACTGGACAAAAGGGACCGTTGCTGTGCGCTGTAACCGCCCCTGGCGCACGTGCCCGCCGGGCAGGAGTTGGGAGAAAGCGCCACTCCTGGCGGGGTCAATACAGCTCCAGCCCACGTGCGACGGGGAAGACCGGGTGCAGAAGAGATCTCGGGGTATCCGCTGTGGGAGAGTCGGGAAGTTAGCCACGAAGTTTGGGGAAAGAAAGGGAAGGAGACCATTGTGTTCTGACTGATGAACTGTCTGAGCATGTCTGCCCCCCAGAATATATAGCTCAAAATAGCTCATGGGAAGGAATGGATGAATTCCTTATAATTCAGACTATCGGCAGGACTCGAAAGACAAGTTGTAAAGGTTCTAGCAAGTAAAAGCCTCAATAGGAAGAGTAGTCAATAAAATACCACCTCACCTCCGTTTACATTGACTTGTTACTTTTTTGGTTATAAGTAGTTTATGTACATGCATATTTTTCCATTACTACCTGGTTTCTAAATACAGGGTCTGTCTTTTAAAATATATTTCTTTAAAATATATTTCTCTTAGGGGCGCCTGGGTGGCTCAGTCGTTAGGCGTCTGCCTTCGGCTCAGGTCATGATCCCAGGGTCCTGGGATCGAGTCCCACGTCGGGCTCCCTGCTCTGCGGGGAGCCTGCTTCTCCCTCTCCCACTCCCCCTGCTTGTGTTCCCTCTCTCGCTGTGTCTCTCTCTGTCAAATAAGTAAATAAAATCTTTTAAAAAAATGTTTTAAAATATATTTCTCTTAAAAAAATTTTAAAAATAACGTATTTCTCCATCCATTTTACCCACGATGAAGGGTAAAATTTGCCCAGCTTAAAGCATGAAATCAGAAGATCACTTCACCTTCAACTATTTAGCTGCTTTAATGCATTTTTCCCTTCTCTTGCTGCTTAGGGTAGCTCTTGCACAGGATGCTAAGATACTTCCCCATGATTTTAAGGAATGTAAGGAAAATATCAAACTGAAATCATGACAAATCTGTATAAAACCATGGA